AAGCCAACGCCGGCGTGGGACGAGCCGACACCGGTACGGGAGCCGCCGACGCCGGCGTGGGACACACCGTCACTACTGAGCTGACCCCAGCACTGGGTGTCTGCAGAGCCAGTGTCCCCAAGAGCCCCGGCCACCACCGCCTCTGAGCCACCGCACCACCGCGGCCCTGGCTCCATCAATAAAGCTGAAATGATCTCATGATGTGTGTGCATGTCCCTGGTGCCCCCGTGCGCCACCTGTGTGTCCCAGAGGTGGGTGTCCATGTCTGCTGGGGGTGTGCATCCCACGGGGGTGCGTGTGTCCAGGACCAGCACATCTCTCCAGTGATGGAGATGCCCCAGGGTGCCCACTCCTGTGCTGGGTCTGACCCCCGTCTCCATGTCCCAGCCCATCCCCATGTCCCAGCCCATCATAGCGTGGTAGAAAGGCCCTTGGAGCTGCTGTTGGCTCTGGCAGCCCCGGTGGGAGATGAGAAGAGTCTGTTTTGAAGACCAGTGTCATCTTCCCCCCCAGGGAGTGTTAAAGCCGCCCTTTCCCCAGGGACCTGTTTCTTAAACCTGTTGCACTTTCCAGAGAAAGAAAGAGGAAGCCCAGAGCATCCCCAACGCCAGACCACTCCTGGGGTGGGGGCTTATGGCAGCACAGGGAGTGATGGGCGCAAGGCGATCTGCCAGCAAGGCTTTGGAAAGGAGGTGGTGCATCATAATTGGGTCAGTTTTACAAAGGAGGGGAAGGACATGCAAGACGAAGATAGCAAAAGCCCGTAGACAGCCTTTTTAAAATAAATAAAAAAATAAATTTAAAAAATAAACCCAGGAATATGTTTTTTTCCCCATTTTCACAAACAAAACCACAATGTTATCATGCCAGGTTGTGCTTTCAGCAGCATATTAAAGTAGTTTGTCACCTTGAATATTTTCTAAATGTTCTGCCATTGCTTTTTGTTCCTTTGGGCTGACGTGATTCATATTTATTATCTATTGAACATTATTTCAACTTTATGACATCTTTACTAGAAACGTATCTGTTAAAAGTACTGACAATCCCTGTTTCTTCCAAGTTTCTCCCCAGTTTGGCCCTGAGCCCTACACTCACAATTCACCCCGCCGCCCCCGGCTCTGCCCC